GGCTCTAGTGTTGATATTTCAAATGATGGGGAAGGGCGTCGTCTGCGATCGGTGTTTAACAGCGTGATGCTTTCTCCTGACAGATGTGTGCACAGATTTTGGAGAAGAGGAAATGTAACTACTCTGGGGTCTGCACCTTTGCTCACAGCCCAGAGGAGAAGGACATGTGGATGTATATGAAAAATAATGACTGTAAGTTACTAAAAGCAGCCAACGCTATCTGGTTTGATTGGAAAAATAAAGGAAACACTTCTTATCTGCATGAGGAGGAAAGTGCAGTTTGTACGAGAAGAGGTCCACTCACTGAATGTCCTCTCAGTGTTCTGATGTTTGTGTGCCTGTAGTGAAAGACATGCAGCAGATGTATGACATGTGGCTGGAATTAAGAGGTTATAATCGTCAAGCAGATGGATCCACGGTCAACCAGCCCAGCCCTGAGGAAAAATACATCACTATGCCCACTGATTATGCTGAGCCAATGGTGGGTTTAACTTTTCTCTCTTTGTTTCAACAAAGCAAAAGTCTGAAAATCTTAAAACGCCCATATTGTTCTTTCAGATAGTAAGAAAAGATGAGAGTATTTCTTCCCGTCTTTATTTTAGAGTGGCTTTCACTGCCGCCTGTGTGGCAAACACAGTAACAGCGAGCGGCAGTGGCAGCAGCACATTTCCACCGAGAAGCACAAGGACAGAGTGTTCAGCTGCGAGGGAGAAGATGAAGCTCTGACGTGGAGCTACCGCTTCCCGGGTACACGCTTTGAACTGTGCTCCAAGTAAGAAATTTTTCTGGATCAGTTTGTACATGCAGACAATGAATAAAAGTGAGCTATTATGCTTTTTTATTTATTTATTTTAATAAATGAAGAAATTAAGTCAGCATATGTACAAGTAATCAACTTGAGCCACTTTAGGCTTCAGACTGATCTGAGAGTGTCTGTTTTAGTCCATTTTCTTTCCTACTCTTTGCTCTGATGAGGTCATAGAGAGGGGAAATCCCGAGTATGGTCATCTCAGGGACACATATGTGACTGTGACCACAGAGGCCCCACCCACTGTTTATGATGGACAGCCAATCGGAGAAAAGCTGGCTTAAGTTGAGGATGGAAGGAGCTAAAACTGCTTGTTTCAGACAGAAGAAACTGATGGGCTGCACCAAGTCCACTGTGAACTCCAAATCATGCAAAACTACCTCAGTACAGTTTAAAGTTTAGTAAACATAAGTGAGAATAATAGATCCACTGTGTGAGGTGTAAATCACATGACCAGTTTGCAAAACCTGAGCTGTTGTAACAAACTGTGCAGCACAGGATATGAGGCGTTTGGGAACAGTACAGAGCTGTAGGTCACTTGTGTGGAGGAAGTATCCAGGTCCTAACATACAGTAGGACTCTCACACTTTATCATCCAGCAAAGATTAAGTTATAAAGTCTGCTGAGTGAGTGGACTAAATCGTATGGTAGTGTTTAGTTAAAGTAAAGCTCACAACATAGTGTTTCATTTAATAACTGACAGGTTGGATGGCAGCTGTCCTGATGGTGCATGCTGTGACTACGCCCATAGCCCGGAGGAGCTCCAGGAGTGGATAGAGAGACGAGAGTTCTTACGACAAAAGCTGGCCAAAGCTAGGGAAGATATGCTCGTCATGCCTGATGAGGTCGACTTTGGAAAATACAACTTCCTGCTTCAGGACTAAGAAGAATTTGACTTTGTGAGCCAATTTTGTAACTGCCAAACAGC